AAAATGAAAAATTATGATTGGTTGAATGAAGTTTTCACGGTTTTTACAAATTGAATGGTTTTTATTTGAACCCACCCCTATATATATATATATATATATATATATATATATAAAGAGAGAGAGACTTGGGATCATGTGAGACCAATGGTTTTTCGTGAGACCCGTAAGACCAATTCTCAACCCTTGGATTAGATCTATAATATGAAAAATCTAAACATTCATAAACGCCACGAGATTTCTCAATAATTACAAAATTGTCACCGTGCAATTTAGACCGTTAGATCATTAACTTATAAAGTTAATCAATGAACATAAATTGGTCTTACAGGTCTCATGAAAAACCTTTGGTCTCATGTGAACCCAACCCTATATATATATATATATATATATATATACATATGTGTGTGTGTGTATATATATATATATATATAATAGGGTTACTTTGCAAACCACGTTATTTGTACAATCCGTATAAACCTCATTCAACCAATCATAATTTTTTTATTTTGTTCATTTTTTTGTAATTATGAGAGGTTGATTAATCATTTTTATTGTGGAGGGTGTTAATCATGGATATTATCATCTTCATTATTTTAATTTTAGAGAAATACATGAAACAGTTTCATAAAATTTCATTAAGTATTATATGAAACAATTTCATAACCATATATTAAACAACTTCATCAAAAAAAAGTACTATACGAAACAATTTCACAAGATTAAACAATTTAATGAAAAAATTTCATAAGATTAAACAATGAAATCGACGGATGAGGGTGGTTTGTACGGTTTATACAAATTGGGTGATTTGCATTTGATCGCTCATTTCTCTCTCTCTCTCTCTCTCTCTCTCTCTCTCTCTATATATATATATATATATATATATATATAATTTGTTCCTACATTTTTACCTTTCTTAATATCAAATATATGTATATTTACTTTTTTTTAATAAAAATAGATTTTAGTTTAAGATGGAAGAATAATTATTTTTCTCTATATTATATTATGTAGTTCTGGCATTTACATGTTAATATAAAAAATACAATGAAGTTTACCTTAGTTTCTATTTTATGCATTCATGAATTATTTTCTTGAATTAGTATAGCAAACGTTTAATTTTTCTTATTTTGTATCTCATTTTAACTGATAAAGTGGTTTTTAGGGGACGTTTACCAAATGCTTACTCCGGTAAGCGTTTACCAAGTCATATTCCCTTACCGGATGGATATGACAATGACCAAAAATCTTACCTGGTAACAGAGAAAGCAAGAACCGAGAGTCTTACTCGGTAAGTGATGGCGACGACTCTTACGACGGTTAGCGCTTACCGGGTAAATTGTTACATACGATATCGTTTTGGTAGAGTAAAATCTTACCCGGTAAGTAAGCGATATAGTTAAATTTTACCGTTAAGCACTTACCGGGTAAGTGTTTAGGTAAACAGTCCCTTAGTCTATTTCGCATCAGTTGATTTTGATGTAACATTTCCCACTTAATCAAGAATTACAATTTATAACTCGACATCTACTTTATCAATAGTTATAAGCCCAACTAACATCAATTAAGCATAATAGGACCAAATAAAGCCCAATAAATCCATTAAAGCCTAATAAAACCAAATAAAGGCCAATAGATCCATTAAATCCTAATAAGAACCATTGAAACCTAATAGATCCATTAAATTCCAATAAGAACCATTAAAGCCCAATACGACTAAATAAGCCCAATGGATTTAAATAAAGCCCAATACATCCATTAAATTCCAATAGATCCTTTTATGATCATTGGTGACCTATTACTTGTTTGTGAGAAGACATGTACTACATATGTATATGTGGTGTGTATTGGGTTCAACTAAGACCCGTTAAAGCCAAATAAGACCTTTTATAACTTATCAAAGACCAATATAACAATGACATCAGATAATATGTTTGTATATAGGTATGTATTGCATACATGTATGTGTGTATTGGACTCGGTAAGAAAATAATGATCCATTATACGTGCTATGTGGTATATATGTAAATATTTTACATGTATATAAAACCTAAACCATGAAAAATTGTGATAACCGGGTTTATCGGTTATAAAGTTTAGGGTTGTTTCTGAGTATTGGCAGAAAGTTGAGGGGTTATTTTGAAAAGTTCCTTAAAAAATTATTATCATCACCCACCGCCTTATATGTTATATGAGATATTTTGATTATCTCCTGGGATTTTAAAAAGAGAGAAAGAAGAAGCTTCTGTGTGTATTATTGAATTCAAGCAAACAGAAACCAGAGGGAAGAAAGAAAAAGTTGATTTTGGTGATTCTTAATTTGAATTTGTTGCTTATCATCTTCATCTAATTGTGTCTATAAGGTGGGTTTTTATTTTCAATTAGCATTTGATGGTGTTAAAAACATAACAGTATGGTTCTATATGTGGGAAGATTTGAAATTGGTTTTATATGTTATCTTTAGCATAATTATGTTTTGATATGTTAATATCAACTGGTTGGAATAAGGGTGGCATAATCAGGAAAGGTGTATTTTGGATTAAAGGTGATATAATCAGTAAAGATGTATTTTGGAATAAGGTTGGCGTAATCAGGAGATGTGTATTTTGTGATAATGGTGGCATAATCAGTCGAGGTGTATTATGGGATAATGGTGGCATAATCAACTGTATGTTAAAACTGGGATTTTTGATCATGTGAAAAATTGTTATCGCATCTTCATAATGCAATGCGATGATTTTATCGCATCATTGTGATGCGAGAAAGGTGTTTTCGCATCCTTGAGATGCGACAAGTCGGGTTATCGCATCCTATGAATGCGACAAGTTGTATTTGTCTCTTTCATTTGATGCGACAATGGGTATTTATCGCATGTGATAGATGCGAGGATTTGAAGTTGTCTCATCCTTGTGATGCGAGAATTTGTGGTTTTATCTATATGATGCGACAAATTTATGTGTGATGCGATAAATGAGTTAGTTTGTTGTTTGATGTGATAAGTGGGTATTGTCTCATCTATCTGATGCGACAAAAAGATATTTGTGTTGATAAACCACTGTTTATTTGTTATTTATATAAATATTGGTTTATAAAAGTGCTTTGGTTATTTTCACCGTGTAATAGCAATAAAAAGAGGATTTATCACTAGACCTCATGGTCTAACCCTCATCTGTGTTTTAAAATATGCATTACAGGTCGGACACAACCGGAGTAAAAGGGAAAGGGGAAATTATAAAGGGATCATGATTGCTTACATATACGGATTTTTGGAAGATGTGATGATTATTTGTACCTGAATACTTGTTATATTTACAAGTCTTGTACTGAATATTTATGAAAAAATTTGGTAACTACTTTTGTAACGTAGCATTTTATATACATTGAGAACAAATGTGTAAATTTGTATTTCATGATATATGAAATATGTGGTTATATGCAAATGTGTAATAGGATGTTACAAAAATGAAAAAAAAATAAAATAAGACTTTTTTTTTTTAATCCACCGGTAAACCTATCCATTTTAATATTTTAAGAAATTTTTAAAAATTTCTTTTTAAAATTTTCGACAGATTACTGACGGGCATCTGTAGGTTATATTTAAAGCTCAATGTAAACAGGTTTCATGATGAAGGGCAAAAAGTTCAAACATTTTATGCACTTGTTGTTGATAGATAACACATTTAACACACATTTCATGATGAAGGGCAAAAAGTTCAAACATTTTATGYACTTGTYGATAGATAACACATTTAACACACAACACTCTACTGTCTCAAACAAGAATTTACATTAAACTTGATTTGCAACCTGTCCCAAACAAGAATGCAGTCCCAAAAATTATCAAAAAACAGAAATATGCAGAGTCTCAACAGCTGATGTTTGTGAAAGAATGCTTAATAAACAGATGTAAAAGTGCAAACATAAGCAGGTTTCATATTGTTGAATTAATAAACATAATTTCTAGTTACACATTGTTTGATATCAAGAATGTTTTTTTTGCAAAATGCGTAAAATGAAATGGAAACAACTAGCTTTACACACCGGATGCTAATTTAGTAGGAACAAGAATGAACAAGAAGAAACCAGTAGGAACATGTTTAGAACACATACAAGAAGAACCAAAAGATTCCAGCACATGGATAGAGAATGCAAACAGCAAGAAGAGAAAGAGAATTCAGAAAGCAAAATTAAAACCTCAATATCTCAGAGAAATTGCTAGGGTTTTGAAGAAGCTATGGAGAAATCAAAACCTCCAAATTCTGGTTATATGCAGCGATGAAGTCTTCTTACGATTTGTGCAAGGTTTGCTGCAATTGAAGAAATTGTATGTTGACTTTACTGATTTTGTTATGGCACAAGATCATTCATGATGAAGAAGAGGCTGGAAAAGTAGAAAAACAGGGAAAGTGATTTTGACCTTACCCCAAAATGGTTTGGTGGGGAAGGGGTTCATGGAAGTGGAAGAGAAAGAGAAAAAGAGTTTGATTATTTGCTTCTCTATCAATGCATAAAAAGCTTGTACCATATGCTTTGTGACTTGTTTTTAAGAGTTTTTTGAATTTGTTGTATAAAACTATTGTAACTTATGCTTAATAATTTGTATTTAAGACTTTGTTTTAAATGGTTATATATGTAGTATAGATATATATATATATATATATATATATGTGTGTGTGTGTGTGTGTGTGTTTTAAGGTTTTTTTTTTTGTTAACCATAGATGTCTTGTTAAGTATAGATATATGGACCAGTTTAAACATATATCGATTACTTCAACAGGATCTTGAAGAAGAGCCAGACAAATCTGTAATGTCTTTCAAATTGTATATTTGGTTTTTAATTATTACTATAATTTGATATTTCAAATTGTTAATAAAAGAAAATGTATTATTCAAGTATATGGTTGAACTACTTCAAAACAAGTTGATAAACACGTCCAAATACATAATGAAAATTGAGCTCTAACACTATCGTAATCTTTGACCACCTAGGAGGTCAGAGGTTCAAACCTCACCAAATGTGAGGAGGACGTGTGAGTTTATTTGTTACATTTGTTGTATATAAATATTATATACTTCAAAAAAAAACATATCAAAATACTCAATAATTTTTAGATTTTATATATTTTTATTAAATACCGCCACTAATTTTTCATTCTTGGTTTACAATATAGTTTTATGTTATGTTGCATAACACGGGTATTGTGAAACGAGAGAAATCTCTCAAAGACACACACACGATGGGGATTGTCTCTGGTACCCCGACTCTGTTGCCATCACTACTCATACTTGTCGAACTTTTACAGGTTGATTGTCACCATACGCTTGTTATCCGAGTAGTGAATCGGTGATACCGTTTGACGTCATTTTATTGTAATTTAAGGTTGTTCTTTATTCTTTTGAGTTCGATTACACCGTTTGACGTCATTTTATTGTAATTTAAGGTTGTTCTTTATTCTTTTGAGTTCGATTACACCCGAAAGGCTACAAATTGTGAGAATGTGTCTACAATAAATTCGTACGTAGACGGTTAGTTGCTCTGACTAGTTTTTTAGTGGAAAGAAAGACCAACAACAATGCTAAAGGCTTCATCGAGTCCAGAGCTTAATTCATTAAGCATCGTGTTTACTAATGCACTTTAACATCAACTACACCCAAAAACAAGCTGTTACACAAAGTGATCACAATCATAGAGTTTACAACTACCACTCGGAAATTGCGATTCCAACCTATAAATTACGTACCACAAATACGGAGATAGATTTCTTGATACAAATGTACAACCGAACCAAAAAAAAGCTCTAGTTTGCAGAGAAAGCCCACCTCTTATTTCAGACTTTCTACAGTCCGAGTCGAAATATGCAACCTGCTTTAGAATCCAATCCATTACCATAAACAAACAATCAACCTCTAAAAACGAGGATAAACATACAGTTGTTACATGATGGCAGAATCACCAAAATGCAAAACCCGTCACCGGAAGGGAAAAAAGCACGATTACACGTTCATTCGGGTAAAGGGTAGCTCGGAGCTTGCTTCATGGTTTGCAATAGAACTTCTATGTGATACAAAAACTCTATTTCCGGTGCCTCCTCTTTGGTTCGACCCTTTGCCGTTTTTCGTCTTCCCATTCTCTGTCGTACATTCTAAAGAACAGCAGTTAAGGGCATTCAAATGAAATTCAGGTAAATGTGGCGTTCTTTCATTTATTTTTCTTACTAAGGGTGTCCAGGCCAGCTTATGCACAACTCAGACTTATCCCACGAGGCCCTGAATATAACAGCCAATAAAATCCAGAAGACTCGAACCGACAAACTATAGGGAAAAGCTGGCACTCAAGGTTTTACCTGCAGGGTTCTTTGTTGCAAATTTAGAGTGATGGTGAAGTTTGTAGACAATTGTAAAGTAGATGACAATCATTTTAAGTTAAAAAGAATAGTTGAAATTGATATCTAAGGATACGGGTCTGAATCACGACGGGTCATCTTGGTAGCTACGTCTTTTCCATGCATACGAGTAGGTTCTTCCAAGTAAACGGTTCGTGGAAGAACAGCTGCTTTTCGGTCTGCCCTATCTCTGACATCATATGATGGTGTCATGTTTATATTAAGGGGAGGTGCCGGAGCGGCTGGTGAGTACTCACCAGGCTCTGAGGGCAGATGCTCTCTTTTCAGTTTTCGCCTTTTGGAAGCATTAACATCCAGCTCCTCCTTCAAAAGATTAACCTTTTCCCTCTCTCCTTCTCGTTCTCTATCATCCAACTGCATTCAGAAGCTTAAGTTTCATTATCCACACCATAAATAACAATACATTAATTTCATATTAGACAAAAAACCATGCAAACACAGTAAAAATAAAAACCAAACAAACCATAAAATGCCCACGCAAGGTGGGGAGGGGGTTAGGACGTATGCAGATCTTTCCTCTAAAAATCACCTTAAACCCTCTGCTCTCTAAATATTGACCTTTTTAAATGATTCTGCAATTGGGAACTGTAATCAAATTACCTAGCATTCTCCATAAATTGAGCTTTAGTGCATTTTCTACCTTTTTCACTCCTACCGGCAAAATTTTGGCTCAACCATTGTTATGGAAAAGTTTCAAAATAATGGAAACGCCACAAACATAGGGCAGAAAAATCACCGCAACATGCAAATAGGAAATACCTTTGTCGAAAATCCTTCTCGCTCTTCTCGCTTTCTCTCTCGAAATTCTTCTTCTCTTCTTCGCTTTGCATCTTCTTGAGAAACTAACATATTCTCCTCAGACCGTCTACGTTCCCTGTCATCATGTTTTGGAGACAATCGTTGTGAATGTCTAGCTGTTCCAAACCTTCTATCAGCATCTTCGTCTCTTCTATTGGCATTTAAAGATTGGGGAACCACGTGCGGAGGTAGAGGTGGAGGGGGTGGTAAACTTTGCCCACGAAATCGATCATCAACATGGGACTTTTCTGCTGGAATCTCGTTGTGCCGCACTTTATTTCTGTCATCTTTACTTCTTTCATCCTTACCTTTATCAAGAAGCCTATCAGAACCCCTATCAACACCTCTCTCTTGCACTCTATCAACTGAGCGCTCTCTGCTGTATCTTTCTATTGACCTATCTCTTGATTTGTCCATGATATCATCTCCATGGGACTTGTCAGCACGTTCAAATCTTTCTCGGTGCTCCCTATCGTATCTTTCATTGAACTTGTCTTTTGCTTTATCCAATGGCTTATCAGTACCCCGGATTGGCTCATCAGAATTTACTTTGTCAAAATCAACAGGGTGATGTTTCTCAACTGCTCGGGGATCAAGTCGCTCTCTATCCGAAAATCGAACCTCAGGCTCCGAGTCTCTTGAATCATGTTCTCCTTTCCGCCGCTTAATAAACCTGTCCTGTTCTTCAGCTGGACTCATTCTCTTTGTTGGTTTATCGCTAGATTTTGAGACAAAAGCATTATCAGGCCTTGGAGAATGAGATGGTCGAGATGAGGACCGACGTTGCACATCCGTAGCTTCTGTGGAATCATCTTTCACAGAAGTGTTTCTTGATTCAACAAGCTTCGAAACTCCAGTCTCAGCCTTCAACTCATTGCCATGGATGTCCGATGATCTTGTAGATGGTGTGGATCCTTTTGCTGAGACACCATGGCCAACAAGTGCAGAAGAGTCCCCAGCCTGTTTACTGTCAGTATGAAGATCTCTATCACTAGCAGCAGACGCTGACGTTCTCCCAGCAGATTTAGGTTTAATTTCACCCTTCACAAGATCCTGCTTTGGTTGCTTCGATACAGATGCAGCAGGCACCGACCTTTTCACTACAGCTCTCCCCTGTCAAACAAGGCAACACTGATTAAAAGAGATTGGAACATGCAAAGGGATACCGATAGACGATATGCAGGAAATATATAGTTAATAGCATACACTAAAAAAACAAAAGAAAAGGCACATATCAGACAACACATAGGAGGGGATTAAAATTAAAGGAATAAGTTGAAGCGAAATTCCTCAGTTCAATCTTCACACTAAGTATAAAAAGACAATGATATAATATCATTTAAATTTTTTATATAGATATTTTCAGAAATAATTGAAGTAGAAGGTGAGGTTGATCAGGAGTTCAATGTTTTCTAAATTGAGCACACCTGATGGAAGAACACGTGCTCAGACACAAGTAGTTATTTGCTACACCATACATATCATAAAACAAATAAGAAAATTTGAATACCTATTGCATGAAAGCACTAGGACAAGGAGAATACAAGGTAATGAAAGAAAAATGTCGGTAAAATCCGTCTATGATCCCCATTTTATCTGCTTCTTTCCCCACTTATTGGATCGTAGAAAAGAGAGTAAGCTATATTGAGCATCTATATTTGAGCAAAGGCACTCGACCGCAAGTACAGTTCCAACTTGTCAACTAAACCCATACATGACAAGGCATATCGAGGCACTAAGAAAAACCCTAGAAGGCAGAAGCCCAGTGACAGCTGTGAAGAGTTCCCTTACTCCTATACACTAATATCACTTTTTGTCAAATTGGATCCTCGACAAGTAACATCCTATTTGTCTGACACTTGCCAACTGATTAGACTACAAACATGCTGTGTCATGTCCACTAACGGAAGGGCTGAAAGTTGAATAACAATTAAACCACTAAAACACCTTCCATGAAGCACCTGTACATCCTGAATACTGTTAAACCCAAAACCCTAAAATTAAGCCATACACAGAGAGATCACATTGTCAATCCCTTCAGAGATAACATTGTCAAGCACAAATAGTGCCTAAAATTAAGCCATACACAGAGAGATCCTGTAGTTTTTTGATGTAGGCCTATTGCCAAAATAAAACAGGCACAGATAAGCAGTGGAAGGTTATGTCTAGCGATGACCTCTTTTCTCAGAAGATAAAAATGCAAACAAGATGGAGTTGGGCGGAGGGTTCAAGAATAAGGCAACAATCAACTCAACTTGGGAAGTCGTCTTAAGACAACCTCTCTGAAGTAACTTCTCAACATACAGAATTTCAATTTCTATGATACGAAACAAGCAGAGAGCATCACATTAGGTTTTCATAAACTCCAGAGGGATCTGTCTAGGACAGGACAACATTAATTATACTTGATTACTATACCTGCTACAGAATTGAACGACTAAACTTCCAACAGGRAAATGCCGTTATCTAAAGGCTTTATTTACAAAAAGTGATGATAGCTTGTTCAGTAATGGATCATAAAGAATAGCATGATTTAGTAACTAGGCCATATTTATAGTAATAGCATAACAGAGAGTTAATTGGGATATATTACGAGATGAGAAWGCACAGGCTGCTATTCTCATCAATGCTCAACAATGCTAAGACAACAGGTCACGATTCATCTGTAAAGTAAGTGCAGGCTCATGTGGATAGCAAACCACTGTTTGGTAGAAAACTAAAAATTGTATAGGTGTAACACAGCCTAGTACATTATTACACCAAGATGCAATTGGCATAGATTATCACACAACTGAAGAACACAAATTAGTAGGTTTTGAGATGAAAGAGTTCATGCCTGTTGTATCTAAGAACTTATAATAGACAACATAGGTTATACCTCAGAGTCTACAGATGTCTTGGTACCACCTTTTGCAGCATTCTCCTCTAAAATTCTGTTCCCAGAATCATCAATCTGCTTTTGACTACTGGATGCTCCAGATTGTATAGCAGACGGCATGGAAGCATCTGAACCATTACTCAATGAACCACCTTTTACTTTTGCATGCCCTGTGTCATACTTCTGTGTGACACTCTCTGTTCTTTCATGTTTACTTTCAGAAGGTTTTGATCTCGATATAGGCTCTCTGATAGAAGTCCCAGAATCATGATGCTGGCCTGAAGAAGCAGTTCTACCACTTGCAACTTCACTAGGAGGCATATTAAGCCCAGTACTTGTCACTGGAGCAACATATACTGATTTTGAAGCTATTGATGGTGCAGGCTTCAAATCAAGATACCCCATTCCAAATTCTTCTTCCGTAACCCATGAAGGCTGTAGAGCATGAAGCTACATCAGTATGTGGATATAACGCAGATCTGTATCGCTAACAATGTATACACCATCATACCACCACTAAGCACTAACACCCCCCCCCCCTTCCAAAATAAGAACATTTATCACGGACATATTTACACACATACACATAATTGCCAAGACTTGATTCCTAAAGCATACTGGGAACTGGGAAGTATCTATAAGAATATAATGGAAGGATAGAGTTACCATTGATCTTGTATATATAACCAATCTTTTTTTTCTAATCATTAAAATAGGTGATGGAATTGTACAAATATAACTAAATTTTAACCTATTGTATGGATCAGATAATATGCACCATGAATTGAACCAAGTCATGGGACTCATTTCGACAATGCTGTGTATACCCATATAAACGGAAAAGCAGAAAGCACTTAATGTTAAAAAAAGCAAACAAATTTGTATAACATCACCTTTCGAGCAGCCAAGGCTGCAGCAACACCAGTAGCCAACACCTTTAAATCTTCTCTTTCATCACTCTTAAGTTTAGCTACCTGACAGTGGTGTGGCAGGATAAGAGAAAAGAAAACGAAATAACATAAAATAAATAGTTAACATGAGTACAGTATTAACCAGCTAGAGCAGATCAATCTAAGATGCAACAAGTAAACTAGTTTTTACCCTTTTCTCAAGGTTGATCCCACTTTTTCTAGTAACAGGAAAAACATTTGAAACTTTTGTAAGCAAAATAAGAGCATTCCGAATTTCCATGTACTCCGTAGATTCCAGGCACTGGATCAGTAATCTTGTGATCCTTTGACTCCATTTCCAGTGTACCTTTCAGCAGTAAATGGATACATTAGATATTACAATCATGGGAAAAGTTTTGATCATGAATATGAAACTTAACATCAATGAATATAGCATAAAATTACACATTTTCGTTGTGGCAACAAACCAAACATAGCATAGGTTCAGCTGAAAGTTACAGAACAGATTCAGCTGAAAGTTACAGGAGATAAACAGCATTGCAGAATGGGCATTTAAGTAGTCACAAGCACCTCGGTTAATGTATCACAATGGACACAAAACATGTAAATAACTGTTCTTAAATTGTCATCCTGATGGTGAAACCATGTTTGGGGACTCCACAAACACTGAGATGGAAAAGCTCCTCCCTTTAAAATTCAAAAATTGTCTTGCTCTGAATCTAAGGCCTTAGTCTCCATGAATGAATTGACAACCAATAATTCAGATTGTTCATAGTCGTGCACAGATCTGAAGGAAGCACGAAAGCAGCTAAATGTCAGCCAAAGGTCTGTAAACTGATTTGCGCCTAGAAATAGTGTTTTTCCACATTATGTCTTTCTATGGGATCGCAGGTTTATTTATCAGCTACTATTTAGGCAACTTCAAAACATGTAAAAAGGTGCTCCATAAAAAACGACAATGAATGCAACTTGAAAGAGAAACTGAAAATTTCTCTTATATTATGTTATGAGGATCTTATGATAGGATTACAGCAAGTGGTTGAAGTAGCATGGGTTTAGGATTAAATAAGACTAAAACACCATGAGTGTTAATTGCAAGATAAGGACTTGAGATTCAGCTGTTTACTGGTATGGACCAATTATGTTATGTTTCCATGTAAAAAACACATAATGTGAAATGGTAAAAGTACATGTTTATGATCTAACCATTCAAAAATATACTGAATCATTAAAAACCACATTGAACCATTCACCAATACAATAAATCATTCATTGTCTAAAAAAGAACATGCATATACAACCATTCAAATATTACTTCATTCATGTTTAACAAACAAACCAAAGAAAACTCTATAATCCATGTAATAGTAAAGACGTAATTAATTTAAGGTTTTTAATGAGTTCAGTTACTTTGAAAAACTATATAAAAAATTATGAAATAAAGGTTTGAACCCTTGTCACCTAAAAAACGCTTCTTACCAGTTACTCTATCTATAAATCACCAATTCGCATTAAAAATTATATCTTACTACATACAGTACGAAAGGATTAATTGAAGTGTGAGATCGGCCCAAGACTAGAGTGAGCAACTAGCTGCTGCAGGATTGGATATCTTGACCGGTTCGACCAAAATGGCCGGTTTTGCATTACAATCCATCGACCGAGCCAAGTTGTCTTGGTCTGAAGTTTCCCAAACCAACCGCCATAAATACTATAACCAACCCAGGCAAACAAATTAAATTGCTTCTACAGTGTGCGCCTCTACTTAAGATGGTTTGCTCACCTCCAACAAAGACCTTCGGAAGCAACAGTTAGATGAGGGGGCTCAAACCAAGAGAACAATGATAGATAGAGCTAGACATAGACATGGGCAAAAAGTGGTGGGAAATCAGAAAAATTCCAAAGAGGCATTAGACCAGAGTACTAGAACATGTTATTCATGTGGGGGTCAGCAGCTCCAAGAGGGTTCACTGCTTATGGTTTATGTTAGGTTCATTATTAGCATAACCAACGAGTTAAAGATAAAAGCACGGTAGCTGTTCTTTTTTGAGTGTATGAAGTCCAGGAATCAGTGTCAACTTCAAGTGCTAAAGATAAATAAAACAAGTGCCAATAAATCCTGCATTCTCCAAATTTCAATTGATCCAACTTTAGTCTAGCAAAATAAACTTTCATCATTCATAACATAATTAAATATAAGCTCTTGACTGCCAACTCACCTTAATGAATTGGCTATATGTGACACGCTGGCTGTTTGGGTATCTATAATATACAGCAAATCCAGGCATGTTTCCGCACTCACGTTCATATATGGATTCATCACTCTGTACAAAGGGGGGATATCAAAAAGGCAGTTAGGCAGGTAGCATTCTATTACGAGAAGTTGTAGAAGTTACAGTAAGGCAGGACTTTTGGTATCCATAGGAGCCAAGAGAGCATATACTCATAACTACCTTCCAATAATAGGCCGTCTTGAGTGTCTCAAACAGAAATCTACCAAGCCGACCAACCTCATACTCAGTGCAACAGCATATCATTGGTTGTAATGTTTTACATATTAGAACGTCAATATGGTTGACTGTGTTGAAAAAGGGTGTGCCCAGGGAATGAAGGGTATGCACAAACATTGCACAATATACTGCATCTGGCATGCTGAACGTACATCGTGGAAATATACAACGCTGAAGGAACTCCATGTTGATCTTTAATGTATCAGGACAGGAACTCAACCATTTATCTTTTTCACGAGCCAAACGTCTACGAACAGAGGCAACATTTTCTTCATGCTTCTGGAGTTCACCACTTAGCCTATCTAAAGATTCTTGTATTCTTTCCTTGTCTTTCTTCCGTTTAGTGATTGCTGAATTAGAATTGTCAGAAAGCTCTTCCAAAGCTTTAAGAGCAGCATGCAGTTTGGTTATCTCAGACTCGTAACGATTTCTAGGAACATATAGATCATAGAGTGTTAAACCCCAAAAGGTAGCATATAGATCAGGAGAGAGGCTGTTCCAAGCTTTTGAAGGCAACACTGTTCTAACCGTATCCAGAAGATCTGACCACCTGCCACAAAAGATGGGACTATTAAAGCAGAAAAAGGAAGCAAAACTAGACATAGATATAAAAAGCGGTTAGACTTATGAAACGCCATCATGGTTAGATTGAGCTACCCAGAAAAGAGCAAACCCGATTGAATGATAGTTCTTCATTCCTATTGCCAATAACTATCCAACTTAAAACTTAGCACAAGCCTGAAAGGTTATTATCTAGCATGCTGAGAGAGATGCTAGCCATTGATAATTATGCTCAAGGGTAAATAAAGAGGCATTACTATTTTCATCTCTTAAAGGGTAAAATTAAGTTTTTAATAGGCCCTACATAAGAGTTGATTAGTCACAAGGCCACGTAGATGCCAGTTCCTTCCAGTTCGTGTTCGTGTGCTTGCTTATGGAGGAAAGAAAAATGACCTCAAATAAAGAACCACATTTTCTGCTGCACAAATATCAAAGATAGCATATTTACGAGATTTTTACAAAATCATGGCTTAAAATATTTGGATAAATTTGCAACTGGCAGCTTGCTCCAAAGATTAGATTAATTCCATGAGTAAATGTTATGAATTTATTAAGAGAAAACTGAAGCTCTATTTTCTGAGTGTCTTACAAGGAGGATGACACCCTCAATAGTTCATGTAGCAAAGGACAATAAAGCAAGAAATTCAGGAACAGTGTAATGGTGTTTGCAACTTTAGTACAGTGTTGAGATCTGATGTTCAGTATGTAATAGAGAGTAGTTAATCTCAACCTTCCATCTTACTACAAGTTACAACGACATCAATCATAAGCAAATAAGAAACCGAAAGTGTCAGAAACATTACATTATCGGTTTCCGGGAGGGACCAAGATCAAGTATAAGTTTTCCAGAGGCATCTGTGAGTTCACTCTCCTTTCCTGCAGCTGAGTTAATTATCTCATCACAATCTAAAGGCCAAACAACATCAGATGTACTCTGACATCTGAAGAGCCTCATCACAGGCCGATAAATTAAGAATGCAACCTACATAACAAAAGAAAAAAAACAGCATTAAGAGAATGGTTGTATTGCATATCGAAGCATCTAATACAGAAAAATACAAAAAGTCACTGTCAGTTAATAACAGAAACACACATAAAAAGAGTACAATAGGCAGCAGTAGCTTAACCATAACAAATAAAAGAAAGCTACAGTTATAGAGAAAAGCAAAAAAGAAACCTCAGGTTCAAGGTGGTACAAGTGTATCAGATCATGAAGATCCGGAACTAGCTGAGCATAAGACGTTATTGGTGTCATTGCACCACATAAGAATTCGACATATTGCAGAAGTGATCCATGGCATCTATCCAGCTGTTCACAAACCATCTTAATGTGAGGAGAGTCAGCTTCGATGACAACCCTGGACAGCAGACATATATATATGATTACTTACAGAACATGTAACATTAGTTTATGGTAGACATAAAATATGTACATCCAGATTCTAATGGCATCCAACTAAATATCCATACATGGACTCAGTATCTTCCCCTCTTTCTATTTTTTAAACAACAGAAGTCCAAGTAAATGAAGAAAGAATAGACAATTTAAATAAAAAATTAAAAATAGGGCAATCGTAAAGTGAGTCTTAGACCTAAAAAGTCAACTGCTCTAAAATCCAACAAATAAAGCAAATAAACATCCCTAGCCACTTCCCATCTGACAAGGAAAACTTCATCTCAGGTAAACAGCTATGAATAACAAAATAGACTCACACAGAACGATGCTGAGCAATAAGTAGCAAAAGTGGAATTGCCAACTTCGGATCATCCTTTGGAAGCAATGAATCCCGTAGCCTGTTGGTGGATTTGATTAAAGCCTGCACAAAATTTCAACTTCAATATTTCACAGGCAACAACAATAAAGAAAATCAAAATGCACATGTTTCTGAATTCTAAATGTATTCTTATACTCTAAACCTACAACTGATTCCCCCTCAAACTGAGGTTTATATGTTGTACAACCCTAGCTTGGAATTGAATTCATCAGAGCTGGTTTGCAAAATTCCTTAGTTAGAGTACATGCATCCGAGTAGGAATGTATCTCAGTTGTATGATTCTGTTCTTCACTTTCTCGGAAATGAGATCTTTATCAATCTCGACATGTTTTGTTCTTTCAAGATGAACAAGATTATTGGCAATTCGGATAGCTGCTTGGTTATCATTGTGCATCTTTTGTGGACTCAAAAGCTTTATCTCTTGGTTCCTTTAACAGTTATTTGATCCATATTCCTTCACACATCTGTAAAGAAAGAGCACAGTATTTTGCTCTAACTGCTTCCGAAGACTACTGCTTGTTTCTTGCTTCACCAAGTAACCTCCCCGTGCATATGAACAGTAGCCACTAGTTGATTTTTGATTTGTCAGCTCTCCTCCCCAACTAGAAGCTGGGTAGACTCATATATGCCTTCTGAAGTACAACCAAAACCATGAGTCATTTTTAGGTATTACGATACACCGCTTTAGATAGTTTTCCCACTAAGCTTTGATTCCTCTCTCTACCATATCGGTTTCCCGCTTTGGTTTATCCTTCGGTTGGGGTCCATAAGAGTTTTTGCATGCTTGCTCCCAAGCATCCAAATTCTTTTAGCAAGTCTAGAACGTACTTTCTTTGAGATGAGACCAACCATTTTTCAATCAAGCCACTTTCATGCCCAAATAGTGTTTGAGTGGTCCTGTATCGTTGATCTCAGATTCATATGCAAAAAAAATCTTGAGCACACCAAGTCATTTCAGATAGTATCATCTACATAAACAACGAGGATGCTAGCTTTCCTTTTGCCAAACAACCTAACGAATAGAATATGGTCTATATGGGACTTGAGTATATATGTATCCCACAACTGTTTTAGCAAATCTATAAAATCAAGCCCAAGGAAACTATTTTAGACCATACAATGACTTCTTCAGTTTCCACACTAGTCTACCATTGGAAGAATTTTTCAAGCCTAAAGAAATTTCCATGTAAATATCGTCTTGTAAATCGTTTAAAAATGTGTTTTTCACGTCCAACTGATGAAGGGGCCAATCACGGTTCATAATGAGTGATAACATAACTTGTACAATATTAAGTTTGGCGGCCGGACCTGATAACGAGTACCATATCATTCGTAGAAACCCTTGGCAAAAACCAAGCTTTGAACCCGTCAATGCTTCCATCTAACTTATATTTGACAAGAAAATCAACTTACAACCAACAACCTGCTTTCCTTAAGGCAATTGAGTGAAAATCCATTTTTTTTATTCTTCTCAAGAGCACAAAGTTCATCATCAACACAAAGTTCATCATCAACTGCAACTTTCCAAGCTTGATCTTTCAAAGGCTCCCAAATGGTATTTGAAACCTTAACTTGATAAAGCAATGAGACAAAGGCTCTATATGTAATAGTCAATTTCCCATGAGCAACATATTTTTCAATAGGATGATAGATACATGTTTGTACACCCTTTCGATGAGCAATAAGCAGATCAAGATCATCAGCAACTGAAGTTACCATACAATACTTACCTTCCTTAGTTTAAGGAATAAGACATGGTTCAGTACCTTAAGAGTTCTTACACCTTGTGTTGTTACACATTCCCAATTCAATTCGTTCTTCCTGATTTTGGCCTTGAGGTGGACTAGACACAAGCACAGGCATTGAAAGTTCCAAGATTTTCAGATGATTGCATTGAAGGTTCGAGATTTTTGGATGATTGCATTCAAGGTTCGAGATTTTCTAGATGATTGCAATGAAGGTTCGAGATTTTCAGATAATTAAATATTTTTCATGGTCACAAGTCGAGGCAATGTGAATGTGGACTCAAGAGTATGTTGGAGGAGTAAAACTAGTTTGAGAATCCTGAAGGCTGAAGTAATTCCCAAAACTGGTACTCCCATGAATTCTCTCTTGGATGGCCGTATTTGGGAAGAAAGGTTGGTGTTCAAAGGTGGCATTCAGAGTGATAGAATTTATTGGGACATGTACCCCCTATGTGGTTGAATGCCAAAGGAGACATCTGAGAGCTTTGGGATCGAGTTTGATTCAATGTTGGGTAAGGATATGAACTAGATATGCAACCTATGCTGTTACAGCGGTCAAAATTTGAAATAGTGGTCAGAACCGTGATTTGATATAGCAGTTTTCACGATGGTAAAGCGGTGGTATAACAGTCCACATATAGCGCTTCATGTAATCATTATAATAATCTACAAATGTATGAATAGATGCATAACATAATATATATTTTGAAGATGAAAATAAGAACGAGTGAATAGAAGAGATGACCAATCAATGTTGGAAGACAATGTTGTTGTGAAGAGAAGATGCAAAATATAGGCTGGATAGAAGGGATGAGAGAGGAATAGCGAGTTTACAAACCAATATTGCAAATGAACATCAGCCCCCTAGCTCGTAATCCCTTAATCGACTTCTCTAAACCCTTTAAAAAAGCCAACTTAAAGCCCAGCTCCTAATTGCGGTTTTCACACCACTGTTGTGTCTCAAAATTATGGCCCAATTGCGGTGATTAATGCCGCTATTAGCGGGACCGCTATTTACTCTAAGACATAGCACCGTAACTAACAGCATAGTATGCAACCAAAGTACTTTGGAGGAAAATTTGAGAAGCCCTTGACATGAGAAAATGCCTAAGTAAGAAATTGCCTAGCTCATTGAAACTGTGTGAATCTACTAGGCATACGATTGATGAAATATGTAGATGTAAGTAATGCTTCCCCCCAAAACTGTTTAGGCACGTAAATTGAAAAAAATGGACCTGGAGCCCTTTAGCAGATGTATATTATCCATCATGCTAACCCATTTTGTTGAAGGGTATAGACACAAAAACTAACATGAATGAATCTTTAGCTAGATAGATAAGGACCAAGAATGGAGTTCAAATATTCGTTTCCACAGGCTATTTTGACATGGGCGGACCTGATGTGGTGGCATGGGTGGCACGTGCTACCGTATTATTTCGCCGCCGAAGGGTAAAAAATTTAGGTTTGTTAACGGTGCTACCGTATCGTTTTAGAAGGTGCTACCGTATTTCCCTGAAATCCAAATGGTGCAACTAAAACCCAAACAAAACAAAGCCCAAATAACCAAAACCATACTTTTTGTAATTATTTTTGGGTATATATTGACCATTTTCAAAAGATGAAGACGCGTCGGGTACAAGTTTAGGAGTTGTTTATCGGTACTTAGGGCTGTAAACGAACCGAACGAACATGAACGGAGGCTTGTTCATGTTCGTTCGTTTAACTTAACCGAACAAACGAACGAACACGAACGGTAAACGAACAAAAATCTTTGTGTTCGTGTTCGTTCGTTTAGAAATAAGGTGTGTTCGTGTTCGTTTATGTTCGTTCGTAAACATGCTAAACGAACGTAAATGAACGAACATAAACGAACGGGCTAAACGAACATAAATAAATATTATTTGAATTCAAAGTAAATAAATAAAAGATAATATATTAAACTTAATATATAAACGAACGAATATAAACGAACATAAACGAACAGTAAATGAACGAATGAGACTTGTTCATGTTCGTTCGTTTAAATAAACGAACAAAAAAATAGTTCATGTTCGTTCATTTATTAAATAAACGAACTTCCCGCCGAACGGTTCGCTGAACGTTCGGTTCGTTTACAGCCCTATCGTTACTATAAAAACCATATTTTTTATAATTATTTTTAGATGTATATTATACTATATTAATTATATGGTGCCACCGTTTGAAAATTTTTCTGGGTCCGTCCCTGTATTTTGAGAACCTGAATTTTCCTTCAGCATTGTGTTTGAATCAGAACATAGAGTTTTTTGAATATATTGTCAGTTCCAAATTTTTCTTTCATGAGGAAAGTCCTGGTGTATTTAGGGGCTGTTTGTTTTTAATAAAAAAGCTCTTAATGTCCTCTTAAGTCTGAATCGATCAGACATAAGAGGATTCAGTGTGTGTTTTTTTTTTCAATTAAGAGCTTAAAAGCTCTTATTAGGTCTGAAAATTTAAGTGGTTGAGAAACCTCTTATTTCAAATCGTCGCCTACCTACTCTGATCTTTTTATGCTCGATTTCTCTGGATCAACTCTTATGTCTCGATCTCTCATCTCTCAACTCTGTCAACTGTCGATCCATATCAACTCTCGGTCTCTCATCTTCAAACTTCAGATTTCAGACGCAAAAAACAAACAGTCTGATTGATTCAGATTTCAGACTTCAGCACCACCTCTTAAAAATCAGAAGTGAATTTAGACTTCAGACTTCAGCACCACCTCTTAAAAAACAAACGCCACCTTAGTGTGATCCTCGATGAAGGATACAAACCACCTCGCGTCACTATCACTTATCACTCTCAAGGGTCCCAATATATCAGTATATTATGGCAGAAAGATAGGAAGGTGAATAGGAAAGACCAGTGAGCATGCTTTGCATGTTGACACATATATGGACCAAAAAACGAGGTAAGCGTTCTCCTAGATAGAGAAAAACCGGATGTCCAAGATGAAAGTGCTAGAACATGATTAAGACTTTCATTTGAGGTACAATGGAATTTGACATAGACCTTGAAATGGATACACAACATGAAGTTTGAACTCCCTTGTTCTTAAGACCTTGGAGAATGTAGAGACCACCACACATTTTAGCACTACCAATCACTTTTCCTGAATTTGCCACTTGAAATTCACAAAGATCAAAAATAAATTCCATCATGCAATTCAAATCTCGAAAAAACCTTGTTGATAGAGATCTGATTATAACTTAAATTTGGAACATCTAGACCAGATGAGAGGTGACCATCATCTGTTAACTTTATGGATCATATTCAAACCACTTTTCGAAGTGATCCATCAATTGTAGTTGTTCTGACTATTTTTAATTGTTGAAGGATGAATATAGAGGCTGCATGTAAGGCCACCCCTGCCATAAGATTGCATGTCCCTGAATCTAATATCCTATCCATGGTGCAGATGTATCTTTTTGGGCAGCAAAAACTAGATGTACCCTACCTTGATGATTCGATACACTAACATGTGATCAATAGAGAATGTTTGGGCTGAAGAGCTCATGATTTATCACTTCCAAATCATCCACAGTTACCATTCCACAGCAGCAAATAGTGAAAGGATGAGACAAGCTTCACATTGCTTTTGGTAGACAACAGAAGCAATAAAGTTGCTATTTCAAGAAGCAGTAAACGTAGCAACAATATCGGCTACAATTAAACAACACAAAGAAAATGGTAACTTGAATCAAGGCCAACGATTTTGAGTCCAATTACAAGAATGAGAGACTGTGATGCGAGGTGATTTCCAAATTCCGGACAAGCCCATCAAAGCCGTCAGCACCAATGTCGAATGAGAAATTGACTTACAACGATAGCTAGTAAACAGAGACGGGTTCTCTCACTATTCATCATCATAATTCGCGGGAGGAGAATATGTAGCAACAAGGTCTTCAATTTATCTAAAACAAAAGACATCTTATCCTCAAATTCTCAACAAACTGTGATCATAAACACAAATAACAAGGAACCCCTTGGATTTTCTTGGTAATCAAGATTACTATACAAGAAAATGGATGCAGAAATGAAAGTTTGAGATGATCGAAGACTGTCGTGAAAGTGACAACAATTGAGAGGTCGGCTGCTTGGAAATTGGCAACTGAATGGAATCCAATTGGAAGGTGACTGTTGTAACCAATTAATCAGACGTCGACTAATTTAACATTGGCAATGAACACCGTGAACAATCAATTGAGTTGATGAAGACCAGATATCAATGGATGATAAAGGCAAGGGAGTGGAGGAGGATTGAGTAGGAGAATTGGAGAAGAGGGAAACCAAGTTCACGGAGATGATGCTGAAGAGGTCCATGAAAATTGAGATCGATGTCGACTATTGAGAATCTGATTCAAATCCTAAGGCAAATGCTAGGAATCCGACGATCATAACTAATGTCGAAGCCCACTAATCTGGAATGATGAAGATTGAAGACGATTGATTCAAGTGAAAAGCAGCAGCCATTTCACAAGAGCTCTGATGCCACATGATAAAACCTCTTTCTCATTTAATTGAATTCCAACATGTACGTAAATGACCTATTTTTAAATTTTAAACCTGAAATTAATTCTCTGGTATTTACAGAAAATAAAAATAAAGCAAATAAAGTAAAAGAAATGAAAGAAAAGAAAGGATAATTAAAAATAAAATGCTATTCTTTCTACACATATCAAGAACTTAATAGGCCAAAAACAAAAACCTAGTTGAAGAAACTTCAGCAAAGCCCAGATATTACCAGAGAGCAATCCTAGTGCAACATTATAAGGAATCCCAGTGCAACATTATAAGATTATTACAGGTAGTAGCCATATAAATTCTTAAAAGTAATGTTTCCACTTAAAGACGTTCTCTTTGAAAGAAAGAAACTTCAAAGAGAGAATTCAAGTTTGAGGTGCATATTTACCATAAATCTTGACCACAACAAATAGGCAAATAATTAACTCATACGAACCAAGGACCTAAGGATATTATTTTGGGATGCAAGGACTGATATATTTTTTCAATCTGGAACCATCAAGTTTACAATTTACACCTTTTGTTTACAGAGCTTTATAAACTGGCATTAGCTTCTGAAAGCATAAACTCTTGCCAAACAACGTTTACCATCAATGTTCATTTTTTTTAAATCCAACCTCAAAAACAGAAATAAGAAGTTGCAAACTGCCACACAAATTGTCATGCTATAGATTATCAAAAACTATAGAGATAGGAGCCAAGTTGCAAACAGTATTTTAGAATCAACCTTCATGCAACTGATATCCAACAAATCTTAACAACTACCGTTTGATCTAAATGCACCTTATTATTTCGGGTCGCCCCAAAAGAAGTAGCCTGATAACGTAGAGTCTCACTTCCAGCCATAGCATCCAACTGTTCTTCGGTCATGTTCTCTGTGTACTGAACATTAGCCATTTGCTGGATAAGTTCCTGCAGCAACGATAAACTTCACACAAGGCTCTCAAGAAGATAAAAGGAGTCCAGGAAACAAAAATAATGTAAAGCATGGTTAAACCTGCAGAAGAACAAGCTCGATTCCACTCCCTTTCTTCAATTGATTTACCAGATACTGGAATAGACCCCTGAGTTCCATTGATGGGTACTTTTTACACCTGCAAAGTAGGACAGTCACATCGAATTAACTGCAAGAACCACAATAAGCAGGCAGTTTGTGGTCCCTGGTTAAATAATACTGATCATAATACAGCAATACAAAAAGTAAAACATAATGTATATTGCCCCATTTGATTACTACGTGTGCATCATAATTGTCAAGATATTTCATGGCCAAGCCATGAAACTAGAAGGAACTCAAGGAAGTGAATTAGCATGATGGATTCTCCTCCTACAGTCCCCAAATAGTATGTTCCACAAACAACAGTTTATTGGCAAAGAGGTAAATCACAAAGCCAAGTGATGATTTGGGTTGCTTGCAACATATTAGCAACCAGTACACCACAGAAAACAGCATATACACCGGAATGTTATGAAATCATGTTTCAACTTTGAGGCGTGCAATTGAAAATTTCAGCTTTTAACTGAAAATGCCAACCAACAAGGAGCGCAAATTAAGTTTATTCAACTTCAACAACCAAATGAAACAAAAAAACAAAAAGGATTATTCAAGCCATGGATGATTACAACGTCATGCCTGACTCAAAAACGATCCTAAACCAGGTAAAGCTATAATCACCTAATCACACGAACCCAATTCAAAACAGATAATAAAAACAAATATTATAACAGATTGAAAAGGATGTTTCCATGAGATATATGCAGATGTTTCAAAAAAAAGTTGCATGCTGCATATCAAACCTGCATGATGGCAGGCAGTACCTGTAAGGCAGAGAATTAGCCTCGGGATTTTCCCCAATCTTCCAGAAACTTTATTTTTACATGGGCATGACATGTAAAGGTCTCCCAAAGAAGATCTAGAGGCAGTTTATGTGTTAGGAAGAATCAAGTACAAGCAGTACGAAAGTATAAACATGATGATTTCATAGCGTTACACAGTAACATACGAAAAGCATTTTGACAACAATTTACAAGTAAATGCAACAATGGGCGATCTACATTCAAAGAAAAAAATATGAATATAACTTCACCAATCTCTTCTAGCAGCAAAGTAGGACTCTTATGACAGTAGAACAAGGAGCATTAATACCACCATGTACCTGAGGTGTGACTACCGGATTATGACGCACAAGAATACACATAATACGCCAAGCCTCACAATACATCCCATTCATCATATGAAAGAGCAGCATCAAATCGTCAAGAGCTTTGGTAGATGAAGCTTAAAAAAATTAGTTTAGCATTCAGACTCATCTAACTTCATCTGCAGATGGTATATAGGCATGTCTTTTTTGGAAAACTATGCAACATATTGCAAAGTTATATGTTCAGCGTGTCTGAATTTTCAAAAGGCCATCAATAAACCACACTCCCAAATCAACTAACCAAAAAACCACCTTGCTGAAACTCCCTCATATTAGTAAAAGTAGAATGCAAGTAACCGCAGTAATTAATCCGGATTTTTCTTCCATTTAAGTATCATAGACCGAGAGGGAGATTTTCGTTCCTTGTGTACTCTTTTCTTTAACAGTATTTTCGGTCCATCCTTTCGGGTTTTTTCAGAAGTGAAATTTAGGTTAACATCATAACTCCAACCAATAAGAGAAGAATGAAGATTCAACAAATTCCCAGCAAGTGAGCATTCAGAAAGAGGTAGGACTCCATATTAATGACACTAGCACTGATTACTGATCGTCGGTCTTCAGCCACCAAATGAAGCTAAGCTTCAACAAACATTGACCAGTTAGCATGCAAGCCAAGCTCCAAGTGTCTTCAAACTAAATGAAAACTTCTATCCAATGTCAGATTCCAAACCCGTCATAGAACACCACCAAGAAGAAAATAAGTTGCAGAAGGAAGTCTCCATATTGAGAGAAAAAATTCCATCTATCCTGCCTCCAAAAATCCCTTCTTCCCCTATAGCCAACAAAAACAATGTCTGCCTACACTAGCATTAGGTCTTGACGTACTTGCTTTCTAGTACTACCCATGTGCTACAAAGCTTGAACTTAGTATCCTCGGATATGGCCAACAAAAATATTATACCCATAAGAAAGAAATTCTTGTCCACATAGCAAAATCCAAACATTGCACATACTTCTGTCCAGAACATCCAGCAAGACAGATCCCTCTTTTTGAAACAGAGACACTGAACCAAGGTACCCCAAGAGATTTAAGGTTTAGAATACTTGTCAGTTGGTAACTCCCATCCCACTCCAACTATCCAACAGACACCAATATGGGTAGACCGCACCAAGATTTCACTAATATGCTCATCTGCCCAATGCTGGCCCAGCCCCAATAGGCAAGCTAATAATGGAATTCAAGCAATACCAGACAGCAAAGCTCAGGAAAATTGGAAGTGTTCATAGCTTTCCAATGAAGTAACCATGCTGCTGAACCGCCACGAAGTCGGGCAAAGATTGCCATGAACTCTAAACACAAGGACACTTTATATTGGTAAATACTTCACACCAGCACTATAGGACCAAACAGGGAAAAAATCACTAAGATAAACAACTATGCAGCAGAAATTTATCAAAAGGCAGGTGGGAATCACTTAGTCACAAAGTACAAGCATGGGAAACACTATGTACTATCGCAAGTCCCTTGCACTCCCATTAACAATGCATTAAGGTCTAATTATCCTGAAATATTACAACAAATTTCCAATATAATAAGCTTCAGCTGCCTACAAAGATGAACATTTTCCACATGGAAGGCACGAGGCCATGCATGCTAATCAGTAGCACATAAAGATCTAGAAATAAAGATTCTACATAAATCAAGGCAGATAGAAGAGAAGAGGCAGCAATACAAAGGATGAAAGAGAAAAGATTACGTACAGATGACCCCAAAATGATGCCAAAGATTGAAGCCAGTCAGATAAGTTAAGGCCATCATCTTTTAGCTTTTCACGACCACCTTGTACCAGCCGTTCAATCACAACATATTCCAAAATATCATACTCGAGCTGTGGAGAAAACCAAGAAGATTCAAGTCCATATCAAATACCACATGGAATAGAAGAATCATAAACATCTAAGTACACATCCCAAGGCTGTCGATAAAATATAAAACCACCAGCAAGATGCAGTACCAAGGAATATGTCATCATACATTAATATTATATGTACTATGCTGCTGCAAAGGCAAATAGCGATCTCCTCACAAGGGTCCTGTGCATTTGTTAGCTTTGATTTGATCATTCGTTTTGCCTACTAAATATACTTGATGTTTTTAAGCTATTTGCAAGGGATGTCCATGCTTTAGGGGTGGCTGAATTACTTCTTATGGAGCTCGATGAATGATTCCCAATTCCTTACAAGTTACAACACAAACACCCCCGACACATGATACACCCGCTGTTCTATATTGATTGTTGGGATCAGAGGCATAGACAGAGAGGGGACAGGCTGGTGTCAATCCATCCCCAATACATAGCCCAGCATCATTAGACTTATATAAAAAGATTTTAATAGTAAAGAATCGCTCAAACCCAACATATACTCTGAAATTTTGGCCCATGCAATATCCCACCACAACAGGTAAGTTAATTAGTATTTAGTGATATTTGGTTTTCTTTTAGCAAATAACAAAAGTTTAAATGAAACCTAATTATTTAAACCCAAGTTAATCAAGTTTAATTGAATATTTTAAACTTGAATGTAATGATATAAATACAATTATAAATTACGTAAAATGTCTACTTGTTGAATAAAATTAAGTTTTGTTGTTAAAAAAACTTGAACCCTAGTTTAATTGTATGTAATTGTTGCTGTTGAGATAATGTAATTTGTTTGAACGTTTCAAATAGCATATTTGTAAATTGTAAACTGTTTGAATTTTTAAAAGACGGAATTCTTAACTTTTATGATCTTGGGTTGAATCATGAGCAAGAAACGAACCATCGATTCTTTTATAAGAAATGAAGCACAACCACAACCTACAAATCTTGTGAAAAATGTGGCCAAGAAGAGACTTTCAGAGTTGAACCTGAAAATCTGGTGGAAAATTTAAGGGAGGTCAACGTAGATTCTTTGGTTCTTGATCCAGAAGCACGGCGTTCAATCTTAAGTTATCCAAATAACCAACATGACGAAATTAGTCGAGCAAATATTAAACTTGGACAAAATCAACTTCATAAATCAAAGTATCCTTTTAGTCCAAGTGCTCCTAAGATAAAAAGATCCAAGTTTCTTTTATGTTAAAAAAAATTGTTTGTATACAATATTTATCATTATTATTTTGCAAGAAAGTATGACACTGAACGAACGGACACCACTCATCCAAAATTCCAGGCTCCTCCCCTGGTTGGGATGGTCCAGCACTATAAATAGAAAACAGACAAAGACACCAAACCTAATTACCCAACTTTATGGTTCCAGTTATTGTCTACAGATATAATAACCCAATCCTTTGATCATTAGTAGTTACTTGATAATCTTAAGAAATGCAATATCATCTTTAGATCTAGGATATATATATATATATATATATGTTTGATTAGAATCAACTGAGTAACAATGCCAGGGATCTTACAACTCAGATATAAAGATTTGCTGGTTCCATGCAAGAATCCCCCTCCCTCTCAAGAAAAACACATACACGAAATAACCAATAACTAATGATCAAAATCAAAGTCTACCTACAACTAAGTTGTATAGCGCAATTTCAGTTAACTTTGTAGGCCTAACCCATCCACATCAAGTAGTAGACTAGATGTGTGTCCTTTACATGATCTGAATTAGCCTGTTTTTGACCGCCACTTATAAGCTATGGTGACCAAACAAAAAAATCTTTCCAAATAGGCATTAACAATCATTGGAATCACAACTTTAAAGAAATAATGACCGGCGAATTCTAGCTCACTTACTGATTTTCACACGGTAGGGGACGAAACCAGAAAGATGGAACCTCAGACTCAAACAGAGTTGAGAGTAATTGGCCCATGATAACAAATTGGAAGTTACTAGTACTATAATCCAGTAAATTTATAGACCAGTGTAGGCTGTTCTGAATCATTGCTGGATGAAAAACCATCAAGCATACAGTGCATTTATTATAAATTATAGCTACTCGTAGAAGATGAAATGGAGAAATCGGACAGTGAAACCCTACTTGCCTACATACAAAACTTATGAAAATGCGCAAGTGAATGCACCATTTCTCCAACTTTCCTACTTGACAAGCATTTTATAAGACAGCATTTAGCAAAGCACGCGCAAGAGAATGACACAGAGAAGAGAACAATTAAGAAAGAAAACATTTGACACACCTGTGTTAGATATTTAAATGCATCTACAACTGGAGCAATCATATCCCTGTATGCTTCTATCTGTAAATAAGAGTTACAAAGATAATGTTATCTTCTAGAACACAGAGGAAAAGATGTTCTAGGGAATACAAGACCAAGCAACCCTCATTAAAACAATGGGTTAGTATTAAAACAACGATGAAGCGAGATGTAGTGAATACAAGGTATTCTGATGTTTCGCACCTGGTGGACAATTGTTCGAAGGACAGTCATAGGATTTGCATGTGCTAATTTTGCAACCATTCTTCCAAGCTGCTTTAGATTTTCCTTCGCAAGCCGTTTCAAGATCCTTCTGGTATCCAACTGCAAAAGAACATATGGTTACAGATTATTCTGGAATGATAAAAGGAAGAGACAGTGAAGGGGCAGTGGAGTCTAATAAGTTACAACCTTTGCGGTCTGCTTTGCAGATAGAACCATGGGGCTGCACTCATCATCCTTTTCCCATTCACCGTATAAACGATACCTTGCCTAACCACATGAAATTCATTAATTTATGCATCCTATCAGATGTAAGATTCTCAAAATTTAGATGTTTCCAATACAATGCCAACCTCATATGGCAGGAGACTCAGTACAGCCCAGATCTCCTGTCCAACAGCCGGGTTTGCTGGTATCAACTGTAGTGAAGGAAGTAGACAAGCGCCAAGGGCTTCCTCAATGTTTAATCTAGCTTCCTTTAGGTGGAGACGAGGAGTTCGATTTCCACCAAAACCAGCTTCCAAGTTAGAGGAGCCATCACCAGAATTGACACTCTTAAGTGCAGAAAGGTAATAACCTCTCAACACTCTGCATACCTAATCGCCACCGAAGAACGAATGTTCATCATAGCAGGAACAAACTGAAATATCTTGAAAATATAAAAAAAATAAACTTGTGCACCTTCTGCAGCAGCAATGTATTACGATGAAGATACGGACCAACAGAAGTAAGCATCTCAAATAGCTCTTTAGGAAGATCAATGAATGATCTTTTAATGGAGTTACTTTCTGTCTCCATAAAATCAGAACCTCCTTCTGGAACTTGAAGCTGTGGTTGATGGACAAGTTCATAAGCAGGAGAAATTGTTTTCTCAATGAGCCTGTGCACGTACAGATACATATATCCACATGAACATTCCTTACCAAAAGTTAAGAAATTTCACAAAAACAAAAACGATAGCAAACAATACCATTTCACTAGTATATAATCTTAATTCAACTATGTTAGATTTACCTAAATAGTCCATCACAAATTCGAATATGTTCAACCGGATTGAGAGGCAAGAGACGACGGAACAGGATATTGGCATGAAACCTGCAAAATAATACCCAAGGTAACCACCAGACCAAAATAGCAGAGACAAAATAATTAGCTCACCATGGAAGAATGAGTAAAAAAGTGGAGGCAAACCAAAAGAAAGCTCTATTTAAACAATCTATTTACTGGTCAACATTATATGGTTAAGTATTAGTGGATTCTTTCAGTACATTATGCTAAGCTTATCATAAACCTTATCTTAACTGGCATATTGAACACATAAGAAACATAATTTGGAGTGTCCCAATAAATTTGTTAAATTATTTGAAATTTCCATGCATTCCAATTGAATCCATCAACCAAGTTCTAAACACCAAGTACCTTGGGTTCTTTACATGAACATATCTCTCTAATTGGGAGAATATATGGTCACATATTGAGCTTTCATCCCAAGGCACTTTTGGGGAAAGAGAGTGAAATTAGTCGATGACACTTCAAGAAACATATATTCAAGCTCATATCCCGTACATAACAGAACAGCAAATAAAAAATACGATAGAATATTGAAACCAGACCGTTGAAACATATTAAGTAGAATGTTAATAGTAAGTAGATGCTGAAATACTAAATTACAATATTAAGAAAATGAAACGGGTAAATAAAAACCTAAGGAAAAGGTGAGGGAATAATTAACTTAACCAAACCCCTGTAGTTTTGTCCAAAACTAGATGGCAATGCTACAAGATTTATACTCCACCCATATTCAATTACGCTGGAAACATGAGCCTCTATGTAAAAGACTATGATGTAGGTAGGGAATATTGGAACTTGATTCAATATAAATAACCGCTTTTAGTATATTCTATGTGGACTTTTACTCAACCTTTCACTGGTGTAGCCTTTTTCATGTTTTATCATCTCAGAAATCTGAGCCAGAGATATATGGATATATCCATTTCATGTCAACTGAGATCCCTCTTCTTATTTGTACATCAGGTCTTTAACAAGTTTGATTAATCCATATACATGAATGGGTAAATTCAATTATGTTATACATTTAACTAGTGGGACATGGCAATACAACATTCAAGAAGCCTATATCACAGGTATGTCATAAGATGCATATATGATAAGCATCACAAAGAGACAGGAAAATAGAAGGAAACTATTTTACACTATAGGATCAATATATTACAAAAACTTTACCAGTCGTCCACAAAAAGGAAACCAATAAGCAAGCCCAGAGTTTGACTATTTTCAAGCTCTGAAGAGCGTTCTGTAACTGCTTCACATTCCATCTCTAGAGCGGCAAACAAATCTACTGTCACATCTCCTTGTTTCTCGTCATCCATAAGATCTTTTCCCGTAGCAGCAAGGTTGATTTTGCCAATTTTGTTAGCCTGTATATAATATCAGAAGATTGGAAGAGCGAAGGACAATTATGGAATTGCTATACAACCAGTTTTGACATAGGAACTCCCAGAAGAACGACAAAGTCTTTGTAATTATAAGAGGATATAACACAGCCTCTCTTGATGAGCCTGTTCCTTGCCTTCTCTTAAATTTTGTAAAAGAACTTGAAATGCATATAGTTTTGGGTGTAGATGTAGAGGTAAACATGCAAATCACACATGAACATGTGGTTAAGATTGTTTGAAGTTTAAAATTAATATTTTAATATATTTGTAACTAATACTAGTTAAGGAACTTGTTATATTATCTCCCCTCGAGTACATATCGATGCGATCTCAGGAAACCCAACCATAGAGATCCACAAAAATCCTAGCAGATATGTACCTGATGGCAGTCGCAATATAGTAGTAAAGGCAAAGAACGGACTTGAAGCATATACATGCTCCAGGATTTAGCACTCAAATTTTTGCAAGAAGGAAAGTGCAAAAGCCAACCTCCAATCAAGAACAAAAGCAGTTATGGTAACATGCAAGCGTTTAAATATGTTTACCTCATCAAGTCGCTTTGCTGAAAAAACATTATAATGCTCAAATGCTTCATCGTCATTGGGAAGAAGATGTGTATATCTGAATCACAAACGAAACAATTTAGTGTCCATATACCAGGTAGTCCAAGACCATCAAGAGAAGTAGTTTGAAAAATATCAAGTAAAAAAGCCATACAAGCACCAAGCATCAATGACGATGCACCTTAGTACCTTACCCCAACATCTATTCCATAATAATAGTGGGAAGAGTTTTAAGGTAAAGCAAATCAACAATGTATTATAGCATAAGATTCTTTCAAACCCAAACCAAATTTGTCATCTTCTATCCTCATAAGTCCATTATTATCCTAATGACACTGTTTGATTCTTACAGAGATATAAGATATAAATTTATCAGAAGTGATAACAAACTGAATGAACGTGTGCATAATACTCACATGCTGTCAAGATCGATAAATTCTTTTTTAACCAGTATTGCTGTAAGCTGATAGAGCCCAAAAGGTACAGTACTATTTACTTCCAAACGCTGATAATATTGAAACTTGAATCCAAGTATTTGTGAAGCATTAGACTGCAAGAAACACCCAGAAGAGATTAGTCAATTCATTTTCATAATATACAACTTGCATTACAAATAAAACCCTTAGACATGCATATTTTTCAACACCAAATGAAGGGCACCTTGGGGAAAATGGGAATCAGGTTCAAGAAGGCATTGTTATCTGGCTGAAGTTCGAAACACTCCAATACCTGAAGCCTCGACATAGATCAGTAAATACAAGTGACTTTGTATTGTAACATTAAATAAAGCAGATTAACCAAAACAGGAAAAGGTAACTTACAATGTCAAACACTCGGTTTGGATCCAAATTGAAGTGTCCAATTAATGACTGCAAAGAATCAATTAGTGAAAAGGAACAGGTTGAGACAAGTAAGAAGGAAAAATACATTTCAGCAATAAAGTTCATGTTTAAACCTTAATTATGCCAACTGTTGCTGCTGATGTATTTTGAGAACAAACTTCTGAACCTTGACAAAGAAGGGTAACCTACAATTTTAAAGCAACTAATGTAAATAAAGAACACCAAGCAAGGACCAGATGGTAAGCACGAATAAGAATGAAAGAAAAAGGAAAGAGAGATAATGAGTTTCTCTTTGCAAGCCATTACATGCAGAGTAGTAGCTTGAAAAAATTATTTCCACTCCCAACCCACATTTACTCATAAGCATAAAGAAATGGGAAGAGTGAACCGAGCATAATTGCCCAGCCTCAGCCAAAGTTCATTTTTATTAATTTCTAAGGACAGTTTTTGATAATAAGAAAAGGTGGTGTAAAGTATTACTACCACCACCCAATAAGGACCAGTATGTGCAACAACTATACGTAGTGAAGTTTTGGTTTCTCCAATAGGTAATTTCCCCCTCATTTTGGTATGTTTTGCTCCTCCATTCACGGTTCACACTTATGTTTTACACTGTTCATGATTTAGAAAATTGATGTATAACATCCACATGAATCGACAGTGAGTAGTACGTTTTGGCCTTTCTCTCTTTGGGGATCGATATATTAATGTTAGTGTCATCAAGGTTACTACTGAATAAAGATCCAAATCCTCCTCTAGCAATGGGAGCCTCGCAGGCTTACACAACATGTGTGATCAACCATCTTCACCGATAGTTAAATTGATTTGGCTAGGTGATCACTTCTTCAGGCACAGTGGTTTAGAGTTAGACATCTTTATTTTGCTAAATCTAACCTTCACTGAGAAGTCCCCAAGCGTTCTGTTAATACATGTTCAGGCAAACTTTTAGCTCCAACAAGAAATCTACAATTTTGAATTCACTGCCTAGACATGTATGCCATAATTGGTAAGGCATACTTCAATTACTAAAAATCTTGAGTAGGAATCCGCGACTGGGCTACATAAGCTATGGTTGATAAAAGAAACTTGATCATGTACCCTTTTGGATTTCTAACTTTCATACTCAAAATAAAATAGTAATGTTGACACACCAGAGATAAAAATGCAATAACAATGTCGAAACAGAAAAATCTGAAACTAAACTTCGTCTTGAAGTGGAAGAATGATACCAGCTTAGCATAGCCTTCACTTTCTTCTCGAAGAAGATTGAATTTGGTTTGTTGATAAAGAAGACGAGTGTTAACCCTGACCTGTAAACAAGGACATGTAAGCATTGGCAGAATAAGCACATTATGCACAAGTCATCATTTGAAACAAGCCTATTGGCAGGAACTACATTTATAAGAAGTTCAACACAAGCAAAAATATGGCTGATTGTACAATCTCTAAGATGCAATAATAGAAAACATCATAATGCAAGTAAATTTTCAAGTCAACCTCTTTTGACTTCAAATCAGCAGCCTTTATCTTAATCATCTCTGAATCCCATAGAAACTCTTCCTGTAAGCTCCCAATCAGGTGGTTTACTCTTAGTGTTCCACGAACTTAAATAACAAAGTCCACCAATGTACTTTTTAGCTTTTTCTATCAATAATAAGAATTACAAAATACCTCACATCGTTCGTGGAACAGTCTCAAAGGGACCACAGAATGTTCCACCATCCACTTTGCCTGAGAAAACACAGAACCATATAATTTATGAGCTATGACATGGCACAGGTATATGATATCCAAGTCAGAAATGAAGTGGAATATAAAAATTAAAATGAACGCAACTGGGGCTGATAGAAATAGTATCATGACCATGTCATGATGAGAATGAATAGTGTCTGAAGCTGATCAGAATCAATATCATCACCTCAATTGAGGCTTAAAATAGAACCGACTAAATCTACAAACAAATAAGACCAGAATCACCTTAGTTGATTTCTAGGCACACTGGGTAATCAGCTATCATAAATGTACATTAACTTTCATAAAATATCAACTTAGATGGATGATAATATTCATGTTCAGAAAAAGCATATCATTTAACACTTGTGATGATGAGAAAAGTAAAAGTGCTTGCTGACTCATAAGTAAGCTTCAGAATAGCAATAACAGATTAGCAATTTTAAGTATGTAACACACTAACACCTATTGCTGAACATGTGTTGATAAATGCAAAGCTCCAATATTTCATGAGGATTCACTCCATGTCATGACATTAACAGTGTTCAGTTCCACCTGCTTCACATGCAACATAATTGGTTCACGAACAAACCTGATTTGGCAAGTCTTTAATTCAATTTTACAATGGCTAAAACCATACCCTGGTACATACACGAATACACTCAAGTTTAACATTGAAGTGGCGCCAAAGCAACGCAACATAAAAAAGGCAACCCAAACCTCTAGTCCAAGATTCATAATGCAAGCCGCAAGATGGTGAAGCAGCAAATCATGGAAAAGTATATCATAATAAGTATTCCCACATCCAACTACACCAATTAAGAGTTCATCATATATTCTGATGGTTTTAGTACTGGGTAATATTTGGAATGCAGATTGGCATTAAGAAGCACACACCCAATAACCCTTCTAAGCATATAACTTCCTTGTGATATATTTCTACTATTTTGGCTTTCTTTCATCCCACATCACATGCAGCTGCACGACTTCATTGAAAAAGAATTGTGATTCATACATTAAGAAGCACACGCCCAATAATCTCTCTAAGCATATAACTTTCTTATGATATGTTTCTACTATTTTAGCTTTCTTTCATCCCAGATCACATGCAGCTGCACGACTTCACTGAAAAAAAATTGTGATTCATACATTAACAAGCCAATTTGAGTCAGCAAAACAGCCTCCCCCAACAACTTGAAATCAAATATAGTACTTGTCACTGAAAGGCTTCATCTCAACTAAGCAACCCATCAAGTCAGACTACACAGAAAACAAATCACATAGGGTATGACTCCATGTGTTCCTCTTTATGCATCTCACTTGACCTCACACATATAATCAAAAGACACAGTTGAGATGTTTTTTACACTTGCACGGAGCAACCACAAAACGGCATAACAATACCGATAGCCCTTATATACCTTTTGGGCATATTTGGGCATGCCTCTCAGAAAAAACTATTAGGGTTGTGAAGTTATAATAATGACAATAAAAAGAAGCTCAAAAATACTATTAAACCTTGCATGATAAATCAACTTTTTGAAAGAATAAGAAGTTCTTGGGAAAATGAAAAAGAACAAGGGTTTCTGAAGCATCAACGGGGAGGATGCTAAGGAATATTTCCAGAAAACTCAAATGAACTTGCCACACCCAAAATTAGCGCTCAATCCTTTGGCACAAATAATAAATACAAAAGCTCAATGTTGGTCGACATATTCTAATATTCTAGCATAACATTGGAATTACAATATTGTTTAAGTGAAAGAACCCTCCCCAAAGATTAAAATTCCAATAGTAAAAATGATATACCTAGTTAGGGCAAATACTATCATTTTACCCAACTGTAAATTAAATAAAACCCAAAAGGCATGCTAATATTTGACCTCTACTTGTATTCTAGCAAGACAAACATTGGTTTTAGCAAACCTCTCTAAGAGACATCAATGGATCCATATAATTGGTTATATGCAAACGATTTTTATGCCACACTAATTGGTCAAAGTACTCCTTTACCATTCAATTGATAGTGATCAACCTTTAATCATTAAACTTTGCATGTCACTTCTTATCAGAGTTATCCGAACACATATGTCGACACCAACTGAATTACCTATACGCCATATTAAATTCTGTAACTTTTCCTTCCAACTTAGCTGGCAGTTGACCATTGCAAACTATTTGGAGATTATTTGAACTACTCGTTCTTGTGCAAAGATAATCATTGCACAATTTTAACATGTATATAAGGCAAATCAAATAAAAACTGCAAATATATTACAAACATAAAAACCAATCTTCATGTGTTGTTCACATGTGAAACATGCAATGTTCATTCAGTGTTGTCTCAACAGTTTTGCGTGTGAAAAAGAAAATAAGTTTCGTATATGAAACACACACGAATACACACACAAGAATATAACATGTGAAATAATATGAATCATAGCTTAAAAGCAAGCTCATTGAATGGTTTGGATTGGTTTTCACAGGTTTGTAATATATTTCCACTTTTCATTTGATTTTCACTAAATATATATAAGTAATATTATCATGCACATACATTTACATATGTCAACTTCCAATGAATATAATATGTATGTACTCATAGTTATTTGTATCTTATAGGCTACAGGCAACGAGCTACTGTATATCAAAAGAGAACTCAAGACATGACAACCTTAATTAGCAATGAAAGTGCATGAAATTTATAGTCTCACAACAGGAGTATAGGAACATTGGGAATTATCAAGTCCAATTGTGCTACTGTGTAGTGAGCTTCAAAAGCAGAAATGCTAATTGAATCATAAAACATCTCCTACCCAAAAATATGCTTAAGTTCCAAAATAGGCAGCCAAATGGCAACTTGAAAGATACACATGCAGTTATCAATACCCAAGAAATTAAGTTAAATGGATACTGACCAGTTTAATCAGACGGGCACGAGATTCTCCGGGCATTGTAAACTGCAGAAACAGATCCAATGCTAACTATAAGTTAAGATGACAACATTTACCATACAACATGCTAAGAGAAGACTATACTTGCAATGAACCGCATAAAAAGACAAATATATGAAGTGGTTGCAACTCTAGATTATATCCCTGGGAGAACTACCATGCCAAACCTAGGCTTACGGAATACCCAAACAACCCATTAATGGTACTTAAGTGCAATGAGCATAGGATGGTCTTGTTACAAGATTTGGCCAGCAAAAAGGCGATCACTCACCAAAACAGGTCCATGTGTAACCAGGATCATAGTTCATAAGGCCAAATAGATGTATTACGTCTCCTAAACAATTAGGGTCTATGTTCTTTCAGTACTCATTTATTCTAAAACAGAAACAGCTATACTTCCAGTATTTGAGCAAAATCTAATGCTTCTGGAAAGCAAATTTCATATATTGTACCACCAATGTGTTGTCCTTCTAATACTTATTTTAAAACATTTAGTTATCAAAAAATATAGAAACCACATCAACTTTAATGTTGAACAGTCGGTTGATCCATAGACATGAAGTATAGCTCCTCTTTCAGAACCAAGTAAGTTTTTATGATACTATCCAAGTAACGGGTCATTTCTCAAGAACAATACCTAAAGGCCCTGAAAATACCATTTGGATCTGGAACCTACATGCTGATAATTAAACAAACCTAAATACATGATACAAGCTTCTATAAAGAAGTAAGAATCTGAATTTACGAGTCACTCACGTCTTGAGCCATTTGGGAAACAATATCGGCTAAATTCGAAGACAGTTCTTCATCAGAAACTCTATCAGAAAACTCAACCAACTCCAGTGCTGATTTACACTTCTGAATTGGTAGCTCCCCTCTAACCTAACATTCAGAAACGCACGTAAATCAGAAACCCACATAAAAATACTTGAAATACGTGATAACAATATCATTATTTACATCATACAAATATCAGTACTTACTATATTCCAACAAAGTTCATAAAGATATCGAAGAACCGCTGCCGGACCAGAAGGCCTAAAGCTAGTGTTTCCATTCTTCCATTCACGAACACAATCTTCCGTGACGTATTTACACTCCAACGCCGGAAGAGACATGAATGGAGAAGAAACCGAATTGAAAACCTAGACTGTCTGTGTTTAATTTGGGGTTATTATGGAAGCAAAAGGCTATGCTTTTCAATTCATCGAAATAGAAAGAGAGGATGTAATGGATTTTCGGGTTACAAAATTTAGGGGTTTTGAAGTCTGCTATTTCCAGGTTTTCCCTTTTCTTGGCTTTTATACGAAACGATTGGAAATAAGATGGCGTTCATCGACGATCCATCGCCAAAGTCATGTGGGTGCTACAATGTCAATACATATAAATAGCTTTTTTGCAATGTAGAATGATTAAGTGATTAAAATGATTAAAAGACTCTTATGACATAGTATAAAATAAAATATAATTGTTTATAATGAAATTAGGTCATTGAATGTTTAAGGGAGGCCTATAATACAAAATCATTTAGAGGGTTTTAAAGCCATCAAGAGACGTACTTTTATTTTGTCAAGCAAGATTCACATCTTAATGATTCAGAGACTGCTTCTTAATAGAACTATTAAAAGATAAACAAACAATCTCTAAGTAACGTAAAATTTTGTAACAAATAAACCATAAAAATTTAATATATTTTTATTCAAAAATCAAAATTTATAACATATATTTAAACAAAATTTTGATTACCGACAACCCTAACATGTCCACATAGAACATGTTGAATTCTGGACACGCCACCACCCCCATCTAAAAACGGGTTGTTTGGGCCCAATTCTGACGCACACGACTAATCCCACGACTTAGGTCATCGGAGCTACTGATTTACTGATGCTTTTGATCGACACGGGCGACTTACCCTGCAGGTAAGGTCGTGGGAGCCCCTGTTTTGACATATATAAGATGTTATTCTAATAGGTTTTAGTTATCTTGCTCACAAAAGATCCCAATGCGATTTTTGATGATTTGGATGGTATATTGAGAATTCTTACCTTGAGATTGTACACTGTCTCACCAGTTCCTTTCCTAACAATTTCTGGGCCACGGGCGTTTGTAAAAAAAAAGGCTCCAATAAGTACGAAAAATCTTAAAGAAATTGTTTTGTTATAAAAAATATAGAGTACAATAAATTCTAGTAATTCATATAAATAATTTTTCAAGTATTCCAAAACACAACATCATCGGTAATAATATCATCTAGCAAATACATAACAAAGTTCATGTCATTGAACCACCAATTGTCCGCCTCCAAACCAAGGTTAAAACATGTTACTGACACAGACACAATCCTCATTATAGTATTTTTATGATTTGAATATACAAAAAAAATATCAATTAAACATAAACATGTCATACTTCCCTGGACTTGTGTTTCCTATTGTTTTTTCCTTCAATTCAATTTTTTACCTGTTTCGAACAAATGAAACTGTGGTCATTGTAGAGATATTGTTAAACACTGTAGCTTGGTTTTTCTTATTGAATAAACTTTGAAGATAATAAGAAAGTTTCACAAATTCATTTTCAAATGTGCAAATCGAAATCGTTTTTCATTTTAGGGGCCGTTTACCAAACGTTTACTGAGTAAGCGCTTACCAAGTCACATTACCTTACCGGATGAATATGATAAAGACCAATAATCTTACCCAATAAGAGCGAGACAAGGACCAAGAGTCTTACCCGGTAGTTGAAAGCGACGACTTTTACCATGGTAAGTGCTCTTACTAGGTAAATTGTTGAATACGATGTCATTTTGGTGGACTAAAATCTTATTCGGTAAGCAAATGATAGTATTAAATTTTATCGGTAAGCGCTTACCGAGTAAGTGTTTGGTAAACGGTCCCTTAGTCTAATTTCTCTCTATGCCATTTATTGGTATCAATACCATCATATCACCAAACTTATCCTTCTACCACATCATAGTAATACATCTGCATTTCCATACCCCAATCCTATTACAATGTCCCACATTGATGTCTCCAAGAACAATAATCAGCAAAATATATACAAAATTAACTTTCACATGTAACATTATTTCAACAAAAAATTGTGCCCTTAATCGATTACCACTTTGAAGTATGAAATGCTTAGGCACCTGAAACGTTTGGGCCTTAGTTTATTCTCATAACAATCATTAATTGTATCATCAAGATAGAATGGATGAATAATAAGAGTAATACATCTCACTTTATTTCGTCACACAATTGAACATACATGAAATAAACCCACTTTTAACATAGATGTGGGCCCTTGTTTTTTATGGGCCCTAGGTGTGTGCTCGTGTCGCCTTCCCCAGGCCTTCTTTGTTACCAGGGTCGACCCCAAAGCCATAATGTCTCAAAACGAGGAGGCCATGAGAGCTAGCAATCCAGACCGTATTGAAGAGGTTCATTTTGTTTATGGAAAGTGAAAATTCTTTCAGTTAATACGAGATTGTTTCACACCTCGCGGTGCTTACACCTCTCACCTATCTAAATTCTATTCAAAAACCTCGTTTGAGAACTTGTATAGAGAAGGACGACCATGTATCTCACGATAGTGGATCCACGTTCAATCTCGGTATTCTTGTGTTTGTTTGCATTTACATTGTTTGAGTATCGATTTGGATTGCATTTCTATTTGTTGGTATATGTGAACACATTTTTGATTCTCATATTCCATTTCAGTTGTTGGTTTGCATCTTTGCACATTTTAGTATTTGTATTGTAAAATTATCCCTAACAAGTGGTATCAGATATATTGGGTCAATTATTGGTGATGTTAATCTTTTGTAGGAGGATTAGTAGACTGTGGTGCACGCCAAGCGTTCGATAAAATGTCTGACGTAGAAGAAAATGTTTGTGGGTCTTCATCATCGTGGCCTTATGTAAAGGGGTCATACAATGTTCAAGGAGTTGGTTTGAAAATTAAACAATGGAATGTGATGGGGATTTTGGTTAATGGCAATCGAAGATGAAAGTCGTTTGATGGGAAATAGGTGTCATCCAGATGTGAATTATTGGATTGATCGAACCTGGTGATAATGAATTAAACCATTATTTTTCAGCCATATTACTCCATGATGGTACATAACCTGGTGGTAATGAATTAAACCATGATTTTTGTCCGATCCCGTAAGGGAAATGGAAACAAAGTAAGCTTTAGAGCGTTGTTAGGCACTCTCGGGATCAAGAAGGAATTAATGATTTACATGAAAGATTTTAGATGTGGGTGAGGATCTTCCGATGACAATCTAACAAATTGTCCATTTGTTTGCAACATACGAAACATGATGGGTTTAACTCAAAATGGACGGCTGTCATATGAGGTCTAACTATCCCTGAGTTCAAATGCTCAAAATCAGGGATAACATAGTCCATGATTCGTCCATTTTTTGAATTTGCAAGATTAAATTATGTTTGGAGTTTGAACCCTTGGTTGATCATTATTTTCAAATTATGTGTCATCATTAATCTCATCTTGATTTGGGTGAGCTGGTAGAAAAGGGTGTTTAGGTGGATTTCCAAAAGTTGATGGTGGTGGCATGCTTTCAAGAAGTAGGGGGAGGTAACGCCATATTGGGAGGGAGTAGAGCATAAAATGTTATTTGTGTCCTCCTTCTTTGACGTAATATTCTCTCAGGAGCAAGATCAAATTCAAGAAACTCCCCGTGGTGTATCTGTGGCATACACCACTTCCAAGTGATTCAAACGGTGTTAGAAAAATCATTTTTTTTATTTTACTCTTAAAAAGTACTTTTAGCTTGCCAATCCCCGGCAACGACGCCAAAAACTTGGTAGGTTATTTTTCACACCCTCAAATTTATAAAAGGAACCACAAAGCAAGTAGGCAATATGGTTCAATGTCGTCTTTTCCAAGTAATAAAGTGGTAAGAACAGGTTATCGTCCACAGAGATTGTAGTAAAAGCTTAATAAAAGTCAAATGAAAGAAATGGTTTTATGTGGCGATTTTGAAGACTTTAATTGGATATGAGTTAACACTACTGAAATAACAAAATAAATAAAGGTAGCATGGGTGTAAGACTTGTGGTGAGATATGAACACAAATTGCAGCAGACAATATTGTAGGGATGCTACAACAAACAGTCAACCATAATTAGTTCCACCATCTATTTTGAGGGTATTCCTGTAGGACTTCCACTATTGCATTATATTATAGCTTTCAACTCATATCTCTATGTGGTATCATGATCAGGGATAGTGACGAATGGTGTTCTTAAAATATATGGATAAACAAATCTCTTTGTTAAAATTACTCTCTCGAGCTGATTCTCATATAATTCAAGTTGGTTTGTGTTTTAGGTAGTTTATCTATGAATCTACCGCACTTTAACACTTTAACAAGTGACCAACCTGTCGATAATTAATTGGTTTGAAAAATATAAATGACAAGTCTCTTTATCGGCAACTTTCTCAAGTCTACCTCTCATACCATTCAAGTTGACGTACATTCAATTGCTTATCTCTAAGACCATGACACTTTAACACTTTCAAAGTGATCAACTTGCCAAGAAGTGGCATTGGTTTTTATAAAACTTGAATGAAATAGTGGAACGTTTTTATAGCGAAACAATATCCATTTTCTTTTACTTTAAAATCTCGCCATTTGTCTCACGCTCAAGCTAATGAAATTAATTACTCATTATGAAAAATAAATGACAATAAATATAAATGTCAGAAAGTAAATAACTGATGTAAAGAGCAGAAATTAAATGATAAGAAAAGTAAATAAAGTAAAGACAAGCACAATGCTACAACAATATATCTTAAAGAACATTTTTTAAAGAAAATCAATAACTAACTTGAATATATAAAGTAACTTCATATCTGAATCTGATTAAGGGATGCATAAAATGAGTTCCAAGGGGTCCTATTTATACTAAATAGGGGAAGAAAAGACAAAATCCATGGGAAGACAATGTTCCTCAAAACGAGACAAAAAAATAAAAAAGGGTAATCACATAAAGTACACAAAGTACTTTTTCTAGAGTCTTCATTGCAGGCCATCGGTCTTTAGCCAATAGTTCATCAAAAATTTCTCCTTATCTTCATACAGCAGCTGAATTCACAAAGCTCTTCTAAAAAGCCACATCATAAAGACCAATGTTGGAGGAATGCTGCAGCACAAAACAATAGGCACACAAGTAAATATTTAGCCACCCTAGTGGTGAAAAGAAAAGCAAATCATTTAATTTAGCTCCATGTGTAAACAAATGAAAAATAATGTAATAAAAAAGACTGAAGGTTGGGATAGAAGAAAAGAAACTACCTAACAGTAAAGAAATAAGTGTTTTATGCATTGAT